AGTAATCTCCTCACTCAGAGGAATATATATACCCTTTTTTAAGTTTATTTTCCAGAATCTACGTACCTTTCTTGAAAAGGGATGTAATTTTTTTTTTAACGTAAGAAAGTCTGCTACGTCGTTTTTGAACCAACTAATCGTTTTGTTCGACGTCCGTTTTCGGAACACATCCAGACAGTTTAGGCGTAGAGGAGGAGAAGGATTTTATGAGAATCGACGATTTTGCACGCCCTACTCCTGTCCTAAACTATTTAAATGTGTTCCCAAAGTGGAAGCCAAATAAAAATATTAGCTAATTGATGGCGATGTACTGAACATTCTATTGAATTCATTCTTAAAGTTTCAGATGGCAGTTCGATCTCGCAGTGAGAAAAGCTTCTGTTTTCATTATTTAGCAAGACGATTATTTAATTTATTTCCGACAACGACTTCTGCATTCTTTGACTTTGATCTCGTACTATAATTAATCGGTGGCAACGTACTGACGTGTAACAATGAAAGATCGTAACATGTTCCTGTGGGCCTTAACGAATCTATCATGCCCATGGAATAATCAGGAAAAAAAAAGCCTGTGCTTTTCTTTTCGCTGGTCTCTGAACAAAACGGACACCTTTCACAGTTGCCATGCTTGCAGCACTAGCAGCACTGTGTCGAGTGCGTACCTAACGAATACTAATACAGGCCTCGCTCACCGTTTTGCGGAAAGATGACAGCCGTCTGCATGGTGCCGTAGAAGTCCTCCCGGGTTCGAGAGTTCCTTTCGTCGTCTGCTGCCGGCGTCGCCGGTGCCGGCAGGAGATCTTTGTCAGCGAGCACGGAGGGCAGCACGGACCGCGGTATCCTCACGTTGGGAGGTTCTTTGAGGCGGAGTTTCTTCAGTATCTGCTGCTTGATGAGCTCGATGCGGGCGTACCTGTACTCGGCGCTGTTCGCCTGCTCGGCGAGTTTGCGAGCCGCGCAGTCGTCGCACGCCGAGGACGTGTAGACGGACGCCGGGTGGTGGCGGGCGCCGACCGCGTTGTACGTCGGGGACGAGTCCATCACCACGGCCGACGAGAAGGCCGTCAGGAAGACGCAGCAGAAGACGCACTCGGAGATGGTCCCGTGGCAGTTGGGGATGGCGTTGTCGTGCCGGTGCTGGTGCATCGTGTTTTGACTTGGCCTCACACGTTCGGGGTAACACCGGGAGGAGATGACGCAGGCGTAGGGTTTCGAGGTGGATTTGAGGTGCTGGTTTCGCAACCGCACTGGACCACTTAGTGAGTCCAGCCGCTACCGATCGCACAACGCGACAACATCCAGACGGTGCACAGTCCGACACAACATCTACGGAGGCCGGATATACCCGGTAGTTTGGAGCAGTCAACACCGGGGCTTGTTGTTGGGCGCAGATGGAGCAGAAGCAGCTCGGTGACCGGGATAGCAGACGACACCCGGGAGCCGAAGAAACAGAAGATGAAGAAAGGCACGACGCGACACTGGTGACACGACACTCTGGGACCCAGGCGACTGTTCTCTGCACGACGGTACAGCTTAGTTCCAGTCGTTTCTTTGACGGAATCGAGTAAATAAAAGCAAGAAAAAATACAGAGAGGGCCGGACGAACGACCGGCAGAACACGGCGTGTCGTAAGATAAAGATGCCGGGCTTTCCTGAAGCGGGAAGCGAATCGCGGAAATACTAATCTCTCCAAGAGAAAAGAACTGAGATGATGGGGGGCTGGGTGAGGAAGAGTGGGTAAGGGAACGTGGGAGGGGGTGCTGCTAGCAAGGATAACAAACGTCGGGACAAAACGAAAAAGAGAAATAATTAAGCGGCGGTGGCGACGTGCGACGGAAGGCGGGCAAAACAAAACTGAGGCAGGGAGCAACAAGTTTGCCGGTGGTGGGGCTCTCGTTTGCCGAATGCGGCGATAGCACCTGATGCGACGCGCTTTTATAAAGGGCCACGACGACTGCACTTCTGGATGATGGCGTTTCGCGCGAGGGAGGAAGCGAGCAAAAGCAACAGCGAGTGAAATTGAAGGAGGAGGGCCGCAATTGGAGCGGCCGTGCGTTTTCCCGTGGCTTGCCCTCTCGCCGCGCGCTCCGCGGGGGTTACCCAGGCCGGTTGCAAGTGAAGCGGATTGCCAGTGTCAATAGGAGCGTGCGGAGTGGCAGTAGCTCGATCTCTGTGCCGCCGACGGCAAACGTAGACCGATCGTCTTACCTTCCATTGTCGTGGCTTTGTAGTCTCTGTTGTTCTTATGTTGGCGGTGTGTATACATGCTGCGCAGTTTCACACCACAATCCGAGTAGACACCATCGAAGCCTTCGGCCTCTTCATCGATTGCTTTCTCATACTCATGGTGACATTACCCGAGATATTTATTGATTGCACGCTCTTCGTCACGATTGCGACACCTCTGCTAATACAGGTCAACGCTCAATTTGCCCTTCAAACGACTGGCAACAACCTTACGCAATCGTTATGAAAGTTTCACTATCCAGCCAGCCAGCTAATGTGAAAGAAAGCTAGAATACGTGACAGATTTTTTTGTTTGATTTTCACTCCAAGAGCTTTTGTTGTTCGCGCAAGAGCAACTGGATCAAAATGCATTGTTGTCTCGGGGAAACTGCCGTGAACGGTCGGAGTTTCTTTATTATCATCATCATCAGCCTGACTACGCCCTTTGCAGGGCAAAGCCCTTCCATGACCCGCCAATCAAAACCGGTCTTATGCCTTTCCGCTGCCACGTTATACCTGCGAAGTTTTAGATCTCATCGTCCCACTTAACTTTCTGTCTCCCATTCGTGCGTTTGCCTTCTCTTAGAATCCAGTCAGTTACCCTTAATGACCAGCGGTTATTCTGCCTACGTGCTACGTGCCCGGCCCATGGCCATTTCTTCTTATTGATTTCAACTAGGACATCTTTAACCCCGACCTGTTCCCTTGCCCGCTCTGCTCTTTTCGTCTCTCTTGAGGTAACACCCATCATTTTCCTTTCCATCACTCGCTGCGCCACAGTGAGCGATGGAGTTTTTTCGGCACCACATTTTTATTTATTACATCGTCTAGGCCGCCGCATTGGCTCAGTGACTACGATGCTTGGCAACATAACCAAAAAAAAAAAAAAAAAAAAAACCTGGGTTCGCTTCCGGCCGTGGCGGCCAAACTTCGATGGAAGTGATATGATAGAGATCCGTGTACTGTGCGGTGTCGGTACACATTAATGAAACCCCGGTGACCGAATTTATCCGGGGACCTCCACTTCCATGTCTCTCACTGCCCGAGTGGCTTTGGGACGTTAATCCTCATAAACCAACCAACCTAAATGCTTTATCAACGTCCTATTTTCAGACGAGGAAAGCAGGTTACTACTTTGCATACATTATTAGTATGGTTAGAAAAAAGAAAAAAAAATGTCGAAGCTGGCATTAAGTCTTGTAAGGCTTGAAACAGTAAAAATGGGTGAATCTAAGTTTGATCGAGTCACTTCTAGGTCATTGCCAAACTCAGCTTAGCTATAGCCGCTTTAAACTTAGAAGTCGCGGCATTTCCTCCTCAAAGGCGGATGCACATAAGGCTGAACCAATGAGCGCGCACCCCAGACTGACGTCACGAGCCGGACGGTCGTTGACCCCACCTGCAAAGAACGCCGCCGAGAGCAAGAGTGGGACTATTTCTTTAGTCGCTGAGCTGATGAGCTTCCGCTCTTCGGTCGTCTGGGCGGGGCCTCCCCTGACTTTTAGGGGCGAAGCTCCTTATGGCGTGGCTTGTGCGTCCCCCGTTGTCGTAGTGCGTAACCTGTGGTGCATACCGGCATACCAGTGGCACATTCCCGCCCTTGGGCACATATCCGCATGTCCACATGTAATGAAAAACGTAGCACGACGTCGTGATCTCGGTGTTAACAAAGCGCAGGCAGCAGAAATGTGGTCCATACTCTCGTTTAGTCCTTGGATAGTCCGCTGGATGGCGGTTCTTGTATATGATGAATATATGATGAAAAGAAGCGGGATGGCGGTACTTGAAGTGCTCAATAGATGGACGGATGGACGCATGGACGGACAGACAGACAGGCACATCAACGGATGGACGGACGAATGGATGCACGGACGCACGCACAGACGGATGCACAAATGGATGCACGTACGGGCGCAAGTACGGACGGACGGACGCTGGACGGCGCACGAACGGGTGCACGTTTGGACGGATGGACGCGCGGATTGAAGCACGGATGGATTGACGGACGCTTCGTCCCACTCATCATCATTCATTCCGTGGATATGCTGTGATTTTTTTTATGTTGTATCAGACTCTAGGTTGTACGTACAGTTGGGTCCACTGTTAAGGAGAACACTTGCGTGCACAGCATGTTTGTATTTCACTCTCTTGCAAAACCATAGCATCTACAGATTTACACGAGCCTTCTGGTGATTGGACGTTCTGGCTCTTTTTGACAGACCAGTGCCGTGCATTAACATTGCTTCCTTATTACCTTCCTTTTGGAGGGCTGGAAATGTGAATGGCACTCGATGTACCGTATCGTGCCTTTACAAGTGGACAATGCGGTACATTCATTCTTAACGCCGAGGCGGTCCTACTTCACCAGCATACAGTCCACACAGTTGTCCGAAATCCCAGAGACGTAAGCTCGCGCTGAAACCGAGCATTCGCGTCTCTCACAGATTCGCGGATACGTCGTAGTGGCGCATGTCTTCCGTCCGCATCGGGGTCTACTCGCAGCCACCCTTGTCCTTTTCCCGTTTGATAGCACCCTCTAGCGGTGCGTACTCGGGTTGGGCTTTTGCGATTTGCTCACGGTGGGGACCGATAAAAGAACACATGACACATTGTTAAGAGACGAGCTCGAACTTGCGTTCTGTGTTCTTTGTAATCTGTCCCTACGCAAAACGCATTGCAAAAGTTAACGTGAATGAAGTAGCTCCTTTCATCCCATTCGTACTTGGGGTCCTCGGCTCGCCACCAGTGTTTTGAAGCCATTTTTTGGGGGGGCTAACTGTTGTCTTTTGCATTTTGGTGGACCAGGGGTCAGTAGAGGGACTTACCAAATTTCTGTAGCACATACCTGTTGATGATAATGACAGTTTTTTGCCTTACCATGGAAGTTTTACGGCTGCTATGACAGGCTAGCTGTTACGTTTCCCACTTCATCTTCGAACGGTTAAACACTGCCGCCTATACCTTCTTGACGTATGTTTTGAAGCAGGCCAGTATGCAGGACATATTGTGGGGCAGAGGAGGGGCTTTCACAGAAGACCTTGAGAAACATCCACCGTTAAGCACAACCCATCACACGAATTTCAGGGTGGGTGGTTAGGGCACCCGTTTCGGCTACGGGACTGTTTTCAAGCTATCTTTATGCGTTTCTACCACTTCAAGAACCGTACTGTCGTCTCACTACCCCTGTATCGCTTAACATTTGCAGTCAATGAAGACCTCCTTTTTTTCTTGGACTACACACTCATCCTTCTTTGCAACGGTGTTATGTGACATCCAAACGCAAAAGTTTGTGGAACGCCAAAATAGCCGAAAAATTTATATTCTCGCTTTGTGTCACAGCATGACCTCCGAGTAAATCTTCCAGCTTGTTGTTGGCATTGCAGCCTATACAGTCACCAGCTTGATGAGAAGCACTACGTACTAATATAGTACAAATTAACGTTTGTTCTGAAGCTCAGGTTTCGTAACCTTTGCTGTTCGTGTTCTTTGTTTGCTTGAATGCATCCTGTTATCCAGACATATACGTCTCGGTGTAGATGCAGCGACTTTGCAGGTTCAACGTGTCACAGTGCTGTGGTTTGTTACATTCATGGAAGCTTTCCAAGACAGGTAAAGATGGACAATCGCCTTCTTTATTTCCTTGCCCTGTATAAGTCACAGATTAGGATGTCTTTCTTTATTGCTTCAAAATGTATTGTTGTTGCTGTCTTATTCGGTATAAATGCCGTTGAAAGAGTTCCTCGTACTATCCCCATGGCCCATTTGAACAACGCATTGTGGTACTACGACTGTTCACTCCGTCAGATTATATTACGTCGTGGTGATTCGTGCGGAAATTGCAAGGCGGTGTCGCCATGCCGCATTTTATTCAAGCACGTTTCCTCGTTTAAAGCCTTCCTTTGAGGCAAGGATGGTTATTT